AAGTATCTGGAGCGACTCTCAGCTTGTCGAAGATTTCGGTAGCATCAAGTGTACTCGAACCAGCGTTATTGAAGAACATGGCCTGGATGAGTGGAGTAGCGGCATTAGCAACTTTATCCCTGGCTCCTTCAAGCTTGTTGATCTTGTCGACTAAGACATCAAACTGTGTCTGGGACTTGATCTTGCGGTCTGCATCAACAGGTTCTCATTAATGAGTCAGCATATGGAGGATAATGGCTTTTAAGGTATTGATTGTTGGTACCTTCAACCTCCTTTAAAGCCGAGTCCCTCCTTGTCATCTTCCAGAGTTCGAATCTGCTTCTCCAGTTGAGATATCTTGGCAGCTTGCACTACATTGATTGTGGTTAATCAAGATTGCAAAGATAACAGCGCAAGCTAGTTGGGCAGAGTTTGTACGTACCTTTTGATGAGCCACTTAGTTCGAAATTGGATTCCTGGAGCTCAGCAATTCGATCCCTCAGATCATGTTCACTTTTCCTGGCAAGTTCTTTTGTTTCGCGCAGTTGATTCCTGGTGGCTTCGAGGGTACCGAGATGAAGGACTAACCTCTCTAAGGTTGCCATTTTGGCTTCGTTCCTAAGATGAATCCTCTGCAAGACAGTTTAATTAGCGTTTGAACTAAATGGCAAATGAGATGGTTGAGATCAGGCGCCAAAGAGTTTACATTTACAATGCGGGTTGCTTGACCAAGTGCCTCTTTCAGTAGGCATAACTCTTCGTCCTCTTTTTGCTTATTTATCACGATCCCTTGAGGCTGCATGTTGTCATCCCACCACTTGACCAGAATAGGAGGGCGCGAATCCTCGGCTGCTTGTATCCGGAGGATTTCTTCTTCATCACCAATTATTGGCCCTAGTGTATCCATGAATGAAGATGAAGGAGTCAAGTAAAGTCTGTTGGATAGTAATGATTTCAGATAGCGCGTTTACCTGTGATGATTCTCGGTCGGGGACGAGTGGACTCTTGTGTCTTCACAGGAGATCTGGCTTCAGAGTCATGGCCAGCATCCTTTCTGGGAGGGCTGTTTGTTTGAGCTTCAACCTCAGGAATCTTTCGGCTTGGCCCTGCGTCCGACTGGTTTCCAGTCGGGGGCTCCTGATTAATTCCGGCTTCGGCTTCGACCGACTGGTTTCCAGTCGGGGGTTGATCACCGGATTCTACATTATCGGTTGCCGGCTGATTGTCATTCGGATGATCCTCAGCAGTTGGCCCGGTTTCTTTGGAAGAACTTGTGTCCATGTTAGTTGGGTCAGAGTCTTTCCCAGACGGATCTATATCAGATGGTTTCCTGCAAATTTGATTATCAGTATTATTGCCGCAATGGGTGTGCGTTAATGCAAGAGAGATCGTTAATGCAAGAGAGACTTCCTGATCTTTGGCACAGGGCGACTGGATGTTTTCTTCCTTGGAGTAGCCTGTTTTGGTAGTTTCTTGGTTGTCTCTCGATCTCCAGGCCTCCTGGCGGTATCATCGGCTTCGTCGTCACTTAGAGCCAGCTTCCTTTTTCGAGAATCTGACTAGCCGACTGGATCAGAAGCACTTGGTTGAGTTTCAGACCGAATTCTTGGTCCTCCGCTCCCTTGCCCAGTTTGGTGGCGGGGAGATCAGCGTTGAGCGATTGGGGGATCCGACTTCATCAAAGCAAATTCCTGAGTGTAATATCCTTCATTATTAACTGATTCAATAAGAAAACAAGATCATATTTTGAGAAAGGTTGAAGTATATGAATACGTACCGGTGGAGGAGGATTGAATGCGTTGAACGGTACGACTGGTAGCAACTGTGAGTAGCTGACAACGATGGCGTTTGAGAAGATCTTATACATCCTTTCCTTCATAACCTTGAAGTCAAGAGAATCTGGATCTTCACGGTTTGGGTCATGCTTGCCGTCAAATTTGAAGGCTGTGCGAGATCTTTCTTTGATTGGAGCTAACCGACACTTGATAAAGTGCCGGGTGATCTGTTCTCCTTGAAGGCCCTGTTCTTTCAGCTTTATCATCCTCTCCATCAGTTCTACTGCTTGTGCAGCTTCATCTCCCATTGGTAGTGAGTTCCAAGTATCTCGATAAACTGGAGGAAGACAGGAGTACTAGGGAAGAACGGGCTCGGGGTTTTGAACATAAAACCAATTTGCGTGCCAGCCTTTATTTGAGGTCTTAAAGGGCATGGAGAAGTATTTTTGGCTTAGTGTTCCCCTGAGTTGGAAACCAGCACCCCCAACGACGCATGGTTTACTCTTATTCGGCTGGGGCTTGAGGAAGAAGATGTGGCGGAACAAGGCGAAATGGGGCCTAATGCCCAGAAAAGCTTCGCAGGCATGAATAAAATTGGCAATATACACTATGGAGTTTGGATTCAGATGATGCAAGCTAATCCCATAGAAGATCAGAATGCCCCGGAAAAATCTTGAGGTTGGAAGAAAAAATCCGCCATAGAAGAAATGAGCAAATACCACGATTTTGTGTGTATCGGGGGTCGGGAATGCCTCACCAAATGCCGGTCGCCATCCGATGATCTCTTTTGCTGGAAGAACGCCGTGTGCCACCATCTCCTTCAGATTGTCTTCCGTCACATCGGAGGGTGCCCACTGACTCTCGAAGCTTTCTCTTTCTTCCGCCATGAATGTGAACTGGATGGTTTGATTTAGTTCGAGATACGGCTGGAAAGGGATGGGGAATTGGAGCGGTGGATGCGGGGAGAAATTTCGTGAAGTTTTTGAGGGTGGATTGGAGCGGATTGATGAACCCTAGTTTGCCCGGCGCAGTTTTACACTGTAGCAGGAAATGGGGAAAATGGCGAGAGTCTCGGCGGGGAAGACGAAGAGACGTTTTTCACTTTGGTATTATTAGGGTATCGGGAGTACTAATGGGCCTGGGCCTGTACAGTACTTCAGCCCAATACTATAATCAGCATGGCCTGTTGTGATCCCTAGGGACTTAGGCACTTTTTGCTTTGTCAATTTGTGTTCACAATGGTGTGGCCCAATGCTGTTAAAATCCTTTTTAACGCGATTTAATATTTTTTTGGAATTATTATGATGCACATAAAAAGGTGCCCGACAGAAAGGTGTTATACCATTTTTTGTAAGCTTTATTAGGCTGCAAAAGTTGTTTGGGTTGATTTGAGATGACTGGTTTATTAATAGTCATTCTTTTAGCATGTTATATGCTTATTTTGGTTATGGTAAGGGTCACAGCCTAGGCTATTAGACTCATTAATTACCATGATATTCTATCATGTTTGGTGGGTCATTTTATGAGATTTTTACTCGGATTCCTATCAAACATGTCTATTTCTGGACCTTTGAGTGTTTATCACTCGGCCCTTCTTGTATTTTTTGTCCTTGATATGTTCAAGTTGAGAAGCAGTCGGCTGGGTATCTTACTAAGTACCATGTGTGCTTCGCTATAAAACTACTCGGTTCTTGACTATATGTTTAGTTTTTCAACTAATCACATAGTCGGGGGCTACACCTAATTAGGTGCATCTACTCGATGCACCATGTTTTATTTTTGCCCTTCACAGTTTTTGATTTTTAGTACTCAGCAAGCTGGAGCAAGTTGAATTGAAGCACTCGGACTATTGTTTTTTTTTTGTTTCGAGAAGGTTATTTCGTCAACTGCGAAGGTCTCGGGGGCTACTGTGGAGATTATGGATACCCCATATCTGTATGACAGTTATACTTTAGTCGGATATATGGTACCAAATATAGATAGAATATCTTTATGAGGACTCGGGTTAGTTTTTAACTTGTATGTCAAGGAAATACCCGAGATCCTAGTCGATTACGATTGTATTTTATCTATAATCTCATATTCCGTTAGGATATGGACTGTATTTTGTAAAGCGGATTCCTTCCCCTATATAAGGAGGGTCCGTGTGCCTCTTGGGGCACAATTCTTTTTTCTAGTTTACACAATCAATAACACACTCGGCGGAATTATCTCCGGACAGGAGTAGGGTATTACTTCTTGAATAGGAAGGCCTAAACCTGTATAAAATTCCTTGTCTCTGAACCTATCCATTTCCTCCACCCCTTTTATTATTGTCGAAATCTTGTTTCGACGCTACCGGTAACGACGATGGCTCTGCCCACGCTGTGCAAGATGTTCGTCGGTGGCATTGGCCCTTACACCGGCGATGAGGACCTCCGCCGCCATTTCCAGCTGTTCGGGTACGTGGCCAGCGTCCACATGCCCATCGATCGCCACACCGGCCGGCACCACGGCTTCGCGTTTATCCAGTTCACTTGCCTCGAACACCTCATCAATGCACTCGCCTATCGCCACACCATCCACGGCCATACGGTACGTACTCATTCTGTGCTCCTTTTTATTCGTTTCGCTTTGGCTATTGCTTGCTAACTCCGTAACTTATCCTGGTTGGTTGACTTCTAATTTTTGTTTTATTCAGTTGGGCACCCGATTAATAGAACCAAGGCTCAGTCGCGGCGTAACAAGATACACCACTGTCTTCGGCAACCACATTTACCGGATCGGACACAACTGTACCTTCTGCTAATGGCCCGGTAGGCCAGCCACCTTACGGAGATCGCATGGATTACCTCAGAAAATTCGGCACCATGGATAATGGAGTTCTGAAGATCGATGGTGTCGTCGAGAGCATATCAAATGACGGTAAAACCTGCACGATCAGGGTACCGAACCGAAGCGGCGACACACCGGTACCATCACGGTATTGCTGCCCTTCGAGCGTGTTCGCTGGGTCGTCTCCAGAACGAATGCCAACACTGAGGATAAGAGTAGCAGGTTCAGATGATGCGGCACTGGATCCACGACATTGCTGCCATGCTGCTGCATTGATCGGATCCTGCGGAGTAAGGAGAAGCAAACCGATCAACAAGAGGGCAGCTGCTGCTGCTGCCTGATGATTCCCATATGATACGAACGTATGTCAGTCAGAGCCTCATCTTACTTTCGCTAATAGCTTTGTAAACAGTAAGGGAACTGGAGTTGCACTGCACGAATGTAGTACTGGCATTTCGGGTTTTGAAGTACATGTATTTTCTTATGATAGAAAATGTAATAGTTACATCCATTTCCTGCAAAAGCAAAAGCTTTGAGCGATGCCAGAATCGGCCAGCATCAAAAGCCTGAAACGTGGCAACTACGTACACGTACTTACCCAGTAACCCCCCCCCCCCCCCCCCACACACACACACACACACGCACACCACACTATGTTTTTCTTCTTCTTTTCGCAGATCAAGGTTGCACACTTGAGCGATCGATGTCGTCGCACGCGTACGCGACGCTGATTACAACAAATAATCTTGGGAGTATAAAATATGTAAAGCGTTTTTACCCTTCTACGCGCGAGGTCGGCTGATCGATCAGTTGCTGAGCGCGACGGCGGCCTCGTGCACGAGCGACCCGGTGGCGTGCGCGACGCCCTGCGCCTCCCGCTCCACCTGCTCGCGGCACACGTCCCGCACGCCGGACTCCGTCATGCGCTTCACGAACGCGGCGAAGCGGCGCCAGTTGTCCGGCTGGAACAGGTCGGGCCCCATGCGCAGGTAGGTGAACGCTACCATGCGCTCCTCCTCCGCCTTCTCCGCCGCCGTCGTCACGATCTGGTCGTGCGCCGTCTCGTCGTACCTCGGCAGCGCGTTCTCGCCGGCGAGCCCCACGCCGGACTCCCGCGCCGCGGCCGCCACCTGCTGCACCAGCTCCTCGGGCCGGCACTGCGCGTCCTGCGGCTGCTCGTGGTTGCGCATCTCCACGCACGTGAAGTTGAGCACCGCGCCGTGGCGGGCCAGCATGCGCGCGATCGGCTGGTACCCGTCGTGGTGCCTCGTGTTGTAGTACCCTGCCGTCAGCTCCGCGGCGTGGGACCGCGTGCCGTAGTGCCAGTGGATGCCGGCCACCTTCACGGAGATCTTCACGCCGGGTGTGCCGGTGTACACGCCCGACGCCGCCGACAGGATGCGCTCGCCGTGTTCCAGGAGCATCTGCGAGTACCAGCTCATGAAAAACTCACCGTAGGGAGTGTTCCACCCACCTTCACGGCGGAAGAAGGGCGAGTCCTCCGGCCAGTCGTTGTACCCGCCGGAGTCTCCCGGCCCGGCGTTGCCCCACTCCGGCTTGCCCACCGCCTCCGCCGCCGCCTTGAGACTGCTCAGCATGTACTGCACATCGATCGCCGAAACATCATCTCTCACTCAGTTCGCCGCCAAATCAAGAAATTAAAGAGAAACCGATCGAAAGCTAGCCGCCATGGGAGACGAGCATGCAGCCAGGCATACCCTGTCATAGCACTGGAACTCGCCGATGCCGGGGAATCTCCAGGTGCCATTGCTCTCCGGGTACGACGGGTAGCGGAGCTCACCGGCCGGACCCATGCCGACTTGAATCTCCTGCAGATCAAGTCAGAGAAGTGGCATTAATTAACACGAGGTAATCAATCAAGAAAGAATCGGTCGTCGGAGTGGGGGGCGTGGACGTACGACTATGGTGTTGCCCATGAAGGCGGCGAAGTGGTCGCGGAAGGCGCGCATGAAGTCGCCGTAGCACTGCACCGGCGTGCGGCCCTTGAGCACCGGCATGGCGTCGGCGCCGAGCGAGAGGTATTCGTAGTTGCGGCGGCCGCTCCGATCCGTGTAGGCCAGGTCCTGGTCCTTGTCCATCTCCTCCAACACCCATTTCGGAAGTGGTATACTGCAACAAACACACATCAATCAGCATAAGCTTAAAATGGCCAAAGCAAATCTTATCTACATAATTAATAAATACTCCGTGAATGAAGTTCCGTTAATTAACGATCACGTCAGTTAATCACATGGACCGGAAATAAAATAGCAAGCTCAAGTGAGCTGCAAGATGCCAGGTCCTGACACGAGGACATGGTCACAGATCTCGTGATGGGTCACATGCAGAGCGCTGGTCGTACGCCACGCCGGGGGCAGCGCCACCGTCCAAAATGGATCAAGTTCACACGATTACGTATATACTACGGCCACAAAAAAGATTGTTGGGTTTTTTCTCTCTTTTTTTTGCCGAGAGAAATGCTACAGGTCACTGACATGTGGGATCCAGCGTGATTCGTGTCAAGCTCATATCCCACATGTCGGTGTATCACATGGCCTCCCTCCCAATCAGAAGCAAAAGTGAAGTAAAAACAAAAAAGAAATGTGTAGATGGCCGGTGACTTCTACATCACGAGAGGCCCGTTGAACTCGCTGAAAATCCCGAGCTTGTGGGTAGTCGAAGCAAAAGCACAAACGGCACCGGGAGCTCCGTGGAACAACGTGAAAGATCTAGAATTTGTCTTTTTTCTCAAGAGAAAAAATATGTATTTTTCAATTTTCAAGATAGTGAGTTCGAAAGATTCTCACCCAGCTGGTGCCGACAAACGCAATTTCATGACATGATGCATGTTATCTAGACAAGTATTTATTTGTAGTTTTGTGAAGATAATCTGATCGGGTAGCTATGAAGAATTAATTGCAAGTGGTTATGGGCAATGGGTAGCAAGGGCAGCTAATTAATCCCATTCCATGCATGAATGCTGCAAGAACGCAAGGAAATTAAAACGGAGAGATCGATGATGCGAGAAGAGGAGGAGGAGGGATAGTGAAACGTACGTGACTGAGTCGCCGACGTTGCCGCCACACTGGTGGAACGACATGACGGCCTGCACCTTGAGCCCGTTCTTCTTGGCCATCTCCATGAGCTCCATGTACCCGGTGAAGTTGTAGCGGCCGGGGCCCTCGCACTCGGCGATGCCCCACCACACGTCCACCATGATCCCCTCGGCGCCGGCGCTCTTCAGCGCCTTCAGGGACGCCTCCACCGCCTTCCGCCGGTTCAGCCCGTTGCCGTCCTTGCGCACCGTGTCCAGCGGCATCATCACGTACACCGGCACGCCCACCTTGCGCCGCTCCTCGCCGCCCACGTCCGGGTGCTGCTCCTCCGGCAGGCTCTCGACCAGCGCCTGGAAGGCCATGGGGAGGTCCGGCCCCTGCGCCGGCGCCGCCGGGTCCACAGTCTGCGTCTGCAGCTGCAGGCTCGGCGCCGCCGCCGGCGCGACCGCCGGAGCAGACACTGTACCCGCAGCCGCCGCGACCACGGCCGTACGTGGCGCCGCCGGTGCCACGGCGGCCGCCGCTCCGGTCTGGTGAGCCAGGTTGAGCGACATCATGAACAGGCGTACGTCGACGACGTAGAAGAATCAATCAAACAGAGACAGACAGGCGCGCGCGCGCGAACGAACGGGCTTGACCTCAAGTAGCAGCAATGTATACGGATCTCTCTCTCTCTCTCTCTCAGACAACCAAGAACAAATCGTGGCGAAATGGATTATTGGAAATGGATTCGGGTTAGGACTTGGGGATCTCCCCTTATTTGTTGTTACGCCGAAGCGACGATCTCGACGAACGGGATTGTGAGGGTTACCGGTTCTGGAAGAGGAGACGGGGGCTTTAAATACAAGCGACGAGCGGCGCGTGCGGGTGACGTGGCGCGAGCTGCGCCGGTCAGGGCAACGTGAGGCGGTGCGCGCAAGCGGGATGGCCGCGGGGGCAAATGGGCGGGATGGCGGCATCCGCGCGAACGACCGACGCGTGAACCGGCCTCGAAGCGTCGTGCGGGACGGCGACGTGGGTGGCGCGGGCGGCGGCATCGGGCCACGTCGCGCGCGGTGGGGCGCCGGATGCGCGACGCGTGGGCTCCTGCGACGGACACGATATTTCGGCGGTTTCTGACCCCCGGAAGCCGTGGTCGGCTTGGGTTGTCAGGTGATTTGGAAATCTTCTTCTCTCGCTTTGTCACGGTGTGTGACGGTGTCACATGGATTCTTGGAGAAGTTCTTTTCTTTTTTTTTTGAGAGAATTCTTGGAAAACTTCGCGTCACGAGTCAGAACGTCGTCTTGTTACGTTTACACATACCCCCGTGAAGTGATTAATGTGGTGTTAGCGACTGGTGCGTGTTGTCACACTTGCAGTGGGTTCAGAGGAAGTAACGATTTACGACTGCGATGGATCGAGCTTTTGAATATGGTATGATAATACTGGAAGTATATATTTTACATGACCAGAAAAAAAAAGGTTATCTGAAAAAGAACGGTTTGCAAGTTTGCTCTGTCAACGTCCACCAATACGGCAACACGCATAGAGCTCAAGAAGTACAGTATAATTCTAACAATTTCCTTGGATTCCAGGTATAATTCTAGACATTTCCGTGGATTCCATTTTCTATATCAGGATAATTTTCAGCAAGAGGATTAGTTTTCTATGGACGACGTTATTCTTTGCCTTTGGGGAGCTAAATCTAGAATATTTTTCTGACGCTCCAACTCATGCGATATATATCATATATGCACCGAGTCCTTCGGCATGCGCATGGCATTTGGGGCCAGGAATATAGCAGTAGAAGAAAAAAAAGGGGGAGTGCAGATAATTCAGGAAGGGCTAATTCTGCGTTAGCCGTTAGGACCGCCTATTTGGGGCCGGTTTGGTTCATAGCCTAAAATGGCCTTACCAATGTTTGGGCCACATTAACAGTACAAAGTATAATTTTGGTTTGGATCCAAATATTGGCTGGCCTATGCAAAACAATAGGTCACGCCATTGACAAGAGCCAAAACGTAGGCGTGAAATTTAAACTCTTGCGCGGGCTCGGATGACGCTCCATATCCAAGCTGCACAGTAGTACACAAGCAGATATTCCCATTTATTGGCATCCACCTACCGCTCATCATCTTCTCTAGCCACAGGCCACAACCTATAGCTCCTCCAATCCCGAGCTAGAAGACACAGAAGCCCATCTTGCCATCCATAGTCATCTTCTCAAACAATCAAACCCATAAGAGCTGATCAAATGGGGTAGAAATTTTGGAGTAAATCTGCTGGGGAGGGGACGAGAGTGAGGCGGAAGGGTTCTGCTCAGGCGACAGAGGACGGCATACGGGCGCCGCGATTTCAGCTGCAGCTCTACTGACTCCGTCGCGCTCAAGTGCCATCACACAAAGGTAACCATTCCTTCCATAGAATGCTTTCCCACTTGTGTTGATAATAAAATTTCTGATGTATAATCTGCCATTAGCATCTTATGTACTAGTAGTAATAAAAGTTAGTTGGCCGAACATCTTACTAGTTTAGTGTTGATGCTTATTTCACCTGTACTTTATTAGTGTGTCCTTTTACATCTAAGTGAATATCTCCTTTTTTTTGGATAAATCTGTATGTTGGCACAATAGTATTTGATTTTCTAAAGTAATTTCAAACTGGTAATCTGCTTCCAGATGGAGAGCAATCGACAGCAATATGTGCATTGCTTCTTGTTGAGGCAAAAGGCTGTAGTGATACTTCTGGTTTTGATCCTCGTCTGGTTGAGGAATAAAAATGGTAAAAGAAGTAAATGCAAAGGGGTACGGTATGGGCCCCTGATCCATAGGGATGTATGGAGAACAAGTGAATTAATTAGGTTGATCGACACTTCAGATAGGATATGCACACAACAATTGAGAATGCCCCGTCAGTTATTCTACAGGCTCTGTTCTCGTCTTAAGAACAAGGGACTACTAGTTGACACCTTTCATGTTTCAGTAGAGGAGCAAGTGGCAATGTTTCTGAAGAAGGTTGGACAACATCATTCAGTTCCATCTGTAGGATTCTCATTTTGGCGATCTGGTGAGACAGTGAGTAGGTATTTTCATATTGTGTTGCGGGCCATGTGTGAGTTAGCTCGAGAACTCATTTATGTCAGGTCTGCCGATACACATACTAAGATCACCAGCAACCCAAACAAATTCTATCCATATTTTGAGGTAACTCTAAATACCAAGAGACAATAATTCATATTCCATTAACTTTTGTTTATTTCACTCGGATGTTTTTATTTTGTCTGCACTTAGGGCTGTATTGGGGCACTAGACGGCACACACATCAGGGCAAGTGTGCCAGCCAAGAAGGTGGATAGGTTTAGAGGCCGCAAGTCATACCCCACACAGAACGTATTGGCTGCTGTCGACTTTGACCTTAGGTTCACATATATCCTATCAGGTTGGGAGGGGTCAGCTCATGATTCTCTTGTCTTGCAAGATGCATTGTCGCGCCCAAATGGTCTTAAAATACCATAAGGTAATTAAACATTTTGAAAGAATCGTAATTAGCCTTGTTGTAAGAAGATAACATTAGGCTCATATATGACATGATTGATGGTTGTAGGGAAATATTTTTTGGCTGATGCTGGATATGCTGCTAGGCCGGGTATATTGCCGCCATATCGTCGTGTTCGATATCACCTAAAAGAGTTTCGTGGCCCTCAAGGTCCAAAATGCCCAAAAGAGCTATTCAACTATCGTCATTCTTCACTTCGAACTACAATTGAACGAGCTTTTGGTGCTCTTAAGAACCGCTTCAAGATTCTTATGAATAAGCCATTCATACCCTTGAAAGCCCAAGCAATGGTGGTTATCGCTTGTTGTGCCCTTCATAATTGGATATTGGACGATGGACATGATGAATTTGTCTCCGATGAGGATACGTGGTATGCTCGCCTACCAAGGAGTAGTAACCGTGTCACTGACAAAGGGGCTGATGTACGTGAGTGGGCAGCCAAGCGTGACGATATTGCCAATCAGATGTGGAATGATAGAAACAACATAGATGTCCACGATGTTATGACCAGCGAATGAGTTACCAACGTATATTGCTTACAATCTTTGTTTTTTGTATTAACTGACTACCATTGTTCATATGAAGTGTTTTACTTACAATTCTCCTATGATGTATGCAGTATGGGAAATCGTACTGAAGATAATAGCAAGGAAGGTGGCTCTCGTGAAAAGTATATCACTTGGAGTGATGATGCCACTCAGTTCATGCTTGAGTGGTATATATCGCTCCGCAAGGACAAACCTACCACCTTCAAGTGGAGGAAACAACACCACCAGCAGTGTGCTACTGCTTTGAATGACAAGCTTGGACTTAGAGTCAACAGAAGCCAAGTCCATCGGCATTTCAGGCTATGCAAGGAAAAATGGAGTTGGATCTGTGCAGCCTTAGGAAAAAGTGGCTATGGTTTTGATGCAACATCATGCAAATTTAACATTGACCCATCGGAGAAGGAAGCAAACAAACTTGGTGTAAGTTATTCTATGATTGCACACTAGTTTGAGTTATAATTCATACAAGAATTGTTAAGTTTGTTTATTTCTAACCATGCTTCTTCTAATGACAGACAACTAAATACAACTACTTGACTAAGCCTATCAAATTCTTCCATCTCTTTGAAGAATTATTTGTGGGCTGTTCAAAAGCTGATGGCTCTCTTGCGATGGACCAGTTTACTGCTAATACTAGTAGTGATAGTGATGGCAGTGGTAGCATCAAGGAGTTGGAAGAATATACATTTCCACTGCAAGATGGTGGCAATGATTCCGACACAATACCTCGCTATAGTCCGACAACTGATGCCACTTCTTCAGGGCAGAAGCGTAAGTTTGTGAAATCACCTACCAAGAAGATTGTGAAGCATAAAACGAGCCGCCACAAAGCAGAGGAGGATGAGCTGATAGCTAGTATCCTTAGGCTTGCTAACTCTCTTGCATCTGCACAGTCTGTTGCATCTGTTGAAGTGCCCTCTGTAGGAGATCCAAATGCAAGTATTTGGAAGCGCATAGAAGACCTCACCATCCCAGCAAGTGACAAAATTGAACTTGCAATCTTTCTCACCAAGCCAGAACAAGAATGCTTTCGTTCTTATCTGCGAGTTGCAAGTGATGAAAGTTTCCAAGCTTGGGTTATAGATTACTTTGGGCGCAAATGTGCTACCGATGGTGGCTATGTCACTCTGTGAATCATTTGCCAGGTGGTGACATTTTGGTTAGGGAGCAATGCATTTTGATAAACCCATGTTACTGTTATATACTTATGATATATGCTGCCACTACCATATAGGGGATGGCAGTGTGAAGTATAAAGTAGGGGTTAGTGCAAACCCATGATGTAATATATGGCACTACTATGTGGGTGATTACGAAGTACTACTATGTAGGGATATGTGCAAACCAAAATGCTGTAATGCATGATGTGTTATTGCTGCACTAGTTATGGAGCTTTGAAGTCTAATTTCAGTCATACAGTATTTCTTTTATATAAACACGCCCAGCTTTGTTGCTGCTATATTTGATACAAGGAGGTTTATTTAAGAGAGAAACAAAGAATGATGTCAAAGAAATCAACACAGCAAACAAGAACATTTAGCTGCCTTTACACATATTCATTTTTCAGGAATTAGCTAGCAGTACCATTAACGGGAGGCAATATAACTACGATCAACAAGAGCTAGCAGTACTGCACATATACACCCGGACCACAAGTCCACAACCCATCATCAAGGGCTAATAAACACTTCAGTTTTTCACTTATTAAAATTTGACTACAAAATAAAGAAACATTAGGATCTGGAGCGCAGGAAGATATGAAAGCAGAGGTGAGAAGGTGAGGAATATGAAGGCAAAACAAGAAAAGGCATAGCCATATGAAGGCACCAAACCAAACTTGGTATAGCCAAAAATTGGCTAGGTCAATTTTGGCTACTAACCAAACTCAATTTTACCTTTCCAAACAATGTCCATAACAAAATATGCCTATGACCAAAATTTGGTAAGGCTCTTTTAGGTCTCAAACCAAACCTGCCCTTGGTGCAAAAATAGTCAAGTCGAACAGGTGAGAGGACAATTTGCCAATTTTGGGGGCGAAATTTATCCATCCACGCGTCACCTCTTCGCTGGTAATATCTCCGGTCTCCCACCCTGCATTTCATTCTCGACGCCAAACTGGATAAACATCAATTTAGTTCACGTTAAAATTAAAAATTTGGTTAAAATTGAAATGATGTGATAAAAAAGTTGGAAGTTTATGTATGTAAGAAAATTTTAATGTGATAAAAAAAATAAAAGTTTGAAGAAAAAGTTTGTAACTAAATAAGGGCCTCAGTTGAATTACAGACAGCCAAAGAGCCATAGATGACTAACCTTTGCCTGCCTGGTGGAATGAATACACTCACATCTTCCCCCGGGGTTCGAATTTTAACCGATGAACGAATATTTTTTCATCGTTTGGCAGCTGTAGCTTTCATTTGAAAGCAAAGCAAATGCAGCCTCCTTTCACAGTAAGAAGCAACAAACGTACTAACGAACAGCTGTACGTTTCCACTTTGCACCCTGAAGTCGCTTACTCCCTTCATCTAAAAAAATGACAAACCTAGATGAAAAAATGACAAACCCTGTGTTTCATGTCCAACTTTAACTGTCCATTTTATATAAAAAATTTTTATAATTCATATTTTCATTATTGTTAGATGATATAACATGATTAATATTTTATGCGTGACTTGTCTTTTTAATTTTTTTTATAATTTTTTCAAATAAGACAGACGATCAAACGTTGGGCACAGAAACCAGGTTTTGTCTTTTTTTTTTTTTTGACGGAGAGAGTACACGGTAATCTTCAAGTGATCAGAACAATTTTCCATTCAAAAAGTGGGTTGATCCATCAGACCATCACTACAAACATTTTCACCACTATTCAGGCCATTACAAACTACTAGCAAATGGAGCCTTGAAATGCAAAATGGCATGGCATCATTCGCCGCAATTCTGAAACGAATCAACAGCGAACAAGACAATATCGCGAATTAGGCAATACCATAACGAGGATGAATTCAACCATAGCAAATCTTTAATGTTAACCACATAGAGGTTCAGATTCCAGACAACAAAAAGGGCTAATCAGTACCAAAACATTCCGATAAGCATAGACGCTAATTGGATTCTCCAGTTCAAGAAACAAGCATTCTAGTAACCACCCTTGAGATCATTGACCACATCATACGGAATGGGGGTAACAGTCTCCAGCGTAGCACCCTCAACCATGAAACCAGGTTTGGGTCCCTCGGGCTGTCTCTTGGTGCTGATAACCTCACCACGGGCCTTGGCATCAGCCTTGAGCTGATCGTTCTTGATTTTCCTCAGGCGGAGCTCCTCGGTGCACCTGGATGGCTGGACATGCTCCACACGGACATGGATCCTCTTCCTGATGATGCGGTTACCGACCTGATGACAGAAAACAGAGTCTTCAATGTGAAGTTGCCACATCAAGTAGCGAGCCCTATTTGATGTTCAATACTCAATATTTGATGTTCCATTCTAAAATCGATAAGCACCTATGATTTAAGGCAGAAAGGTATATGCTAAATGAATCAAAAACAGAAAATTCAGATAGTCATAGCAGGCAAGGCAAGTGGTATATAGAGAAATGGACTCAAAATGCAGAAACATTCACCAAAACATACACAAAGGAAACAACAGCAACATTTAGTTGAAAGAAACAGCTAAAGACGGTGGTGTGTGTAAATTTGTATCATCCAACCAGGCTTCCCATACTGCTGCTAGAACAGTAGGACAGCCAGAACGGAAATTTTAATATATGCCCATCACACGTGTAACGTGTGCCACACAACCTCTCCCGTGGAATACCACGCCACCCCGTGGCTTAAGAGGTAAGCGCTCGGCCTAGGGCAAATAAAGTAAATACAAGTTCTAGTAACAAAGATTAATTAACGTTAGGACAACAAATGAGATTAAAAGTTATTTTGGGACTCCATACCAGACAGACACAATACAGATTATACTAATACATGCTACCAACATTCCACAGTTCTAGGGCAAAATGCAGCACTAAAAGAGTGTTCCCATTTTGATTTAGAGATGTTAAGCATCAGTTGCAAGGCACTGGCTACCAAAGAGGTCTCACAACCAAACATGGTTGGCTAAATATATCTACACGCAGTACAAATTTCCTCCAGTACAGGATTCCAAGGGTAAAACCACCAGTAAAATATCTAGCACTTTGACTACTTCGCAGATACTAGCAACTTGCACAAGGACCAAAAAAATTCTATCAGCATTCAGCAAACTACATGAGCACGAAATATTCACAGCAAATTTAAACGGTTCTTATCCGTTCCAACAAAAAGTATTCAAGATTCGTGGTTCTAAAATAGACATCATACGAGAGCCAACAGCACAGATCTACCAAATCTACCGCCTGTTGAGAAGAAAAGAGGGAGGAAGAGGAAAGGATGCCGCTATGGCCGGAGCGGAGCGGATTATACCTGCTTGTTGATCTCGACGCCGATGGCGCGCTTGGTGACGTTCCAGACGCGGCCGGTGCGGCCGTGGTAGAACTTGTGCGGCATGCCCTTGTGCACGGCGCCGTTCACCTTGACGTCGACGTAATCGCCGATCTTGTACGTCCTCAGGTAGGTGGTGAGCGGGATGTAACCCTTCTTGCGGAACGGCCGCGCGAAGAGGTCGCGCGTCCGCGCCCGCAGCCCGTGCCCCGCCGGCATCTTCCCTCCTGCGGCTGCGCTGCTTCTGCTGCGGCGGTGGCGGTGGTGGCGGCGGCGTCGGTAGAGTGTGCGGCGCTAGGGTTAGAGTGAGACGAGGTGACGCCTATTTATAGGTGCCTTTTGGGCCGCGGACTATTGGTAAGCCTTCCTCGTGATGGGCCGAGTTCTTAGAAGGCTCTAATGGGCCCAGTAGAGATTCTCACAGGCTATTAGAAGTTGGCCTGAGCGGCCCGCGACGTGAGCTTTGAAACACTCGACCCAAACTAGCAACAAGTGAACATCCAACTCACCTGTGGTATGCTTGAAGGAAAAATATACTACTCGTACATGACATATAGATCAAACAAATGGCTACCATCATATTTTCTACTGAAAAATCGACCATTAATTCAGAGCTTTAAGCCATTACATTTTCTTTGTAGGAACTATGAGCCATTACATCAGAAAGATCAGCACTAAAACACTATATCCTAATGGAGTGCCGGGTGCCCTGTTCTACTCTCCTGAGATAGCTTTGTAGTTTGTACTGTTGTAAGGTAGGCTAAGAAAACTAATGCTAACATTTGCCAAGACTAAAGAAGTAAGAACACCTCCTCTTTATACTAATTGTCTAGGCTCTGTTCTTTTGGTTGAGTTGGGAACCCATCCCTCCGGTACGGAAAACGAAGCAGTCCATTAGCACGTGATTAATTAATTATTTGCTAATTTTTTTTCAAAAATGGATCAATATAATTTTTTTAAGCAACTTTCGTATATAAACTTTTTGCAAAAAACACACCGTTTAGCAGTTTGAAAAGCGTGCGCGCGGAAAATGAGATGGGGGAGTTGGGAACTCCAGGAAACGAACAGAGCCTAAGAGGAGCACAAAACATGGTGCAGTTGCCATGTCTAGGTGAAAATGGTGGCACAAAGAATCCAATTCTAGGACCCTGGTGGCCAGGAGGAATCAAGGCGGGGCTACAAAATTGCTCAGATAAGATTCACTTGGAGTACGACTGCTCTGTGAGTTCAATTGGCACCAGGGTTGAATTGTTTGTGATTTGGCAAGTGGTGGCCATTGGAAGTCCTTTTCTGTGATGCTGCTGCAACATGACCACCATTAGCTTGAACTCCCTGCCTTGCCGTTGCTTGAGTAGGTTGATGACCAGGCCTCATTTGAGCATGCAGCTGATTGGGTTGAGGAGTGCTTGGAAGACGCCCTGGTGGATCAATATTGTAATCAGAAACCCCCAGCTCTGATGCCAGCTTAGCAAGTGCCTCCTTCCATATGTTTTGGTAAATATCTGCCGATGGATCATGCTGGTGTTGAATTCCCTGAGTTTGAAGCGAGGAACACTGAGAAAGCTGCAGTTCAGCACTAACCGCCCTGCCTGGATCAACCTGAAGGTATGATGTTGACTGAACCTGAAGTCCTTGAGATATACCTGGAGCAACCTGATGATATGATGTCGACTGAACCCTAACTGGTGCACTGAAAGAATTCTGAGGTGAGTAACCCCGTAATGGTCTAGCAGCAGTGACAGAATTCTGAGATACTGCAGAGGATGGTGGCTGAGATTGTGTTGTCTGAACTCGTAATGGTCTAGCAGCACTGACAGAATTCTGAGATACTGCAGAGGATGCTGGTTGAGATTGTGTTGTCTGAAATGCTGCAGAGGATACTGGCTGAACCAGGACAGAGTTAGGGGCAGGATGGCGCAAATGGTTAGCATTTGTGGATAGATGAACTGGAGGAGCTGAACCATCACTTCTGAATCTTTTGCGCGGAATGCTAGCTCTAGGAAATGTTGCTTCCTGCAGATTAACAGGTTGTCCCACATTCGGTGGAACTCCAATGAGCTTCATCATCCATTGATTTTGGCTCACATTTCTCGAAACATGGAATCCTACTGGAGACAATGGTGATAGACGTGGAACTGAAAAACGATCCCCTGTATATTGCTGCAACTGCAAGGATGCTGTTGCTGAGATTGGCTGAAAATGATTCTTGATACCTCTACGGTTAGATGATGGCAGGTTTTTGCGCTTCAATGACTGCCTCATTTTCGTCCATTTTGCATTCTTGTCCGTAGCATGACAATGATCAGTAGGCTCTGTACCTTTGCCCCAAAAGGCACAGGGAGCAGGAGAGTCGCAAACATAACAGTGGCACTGCATTTATATTTGGAAGAAGAAATAAGCAAGGTCATGCCAATGCATCAGTGATGGAACTGTAAGTAATATGTACTATTCCCTCCGTATTTTAATGTATGACCCCGTTGACTTTTTGAGATACGTTTGACCATTTGTCTTATTTAAAAAAATTACTATGTGATTATCATTTGTTTAATTGTGACTTGATTTATCATTAAATATTCTTTAAGCATGACATAAATATTTTTATATTTGCACAAAAATTTTGAATAAGACAAATGGTTAAAGGTTGTTCAAAAAGTCATCGGTGTCATACATTAAAATACAAACGGAGTAAGTACTATTGACTATATACTTTTATATGAACCAAGAAATATCATTTCATAATATGAAGAGGGTAGGGATTGATTACTGACCATGGCACAATGATCTGCATGAGAACTTGTGAATGGCATGCTAACACATAGATGGCGTGGATGAGGGAAATCCCTGCATGCTATCTGAAAAAAGGAAAAGGGGGGAAATTGTCAGGTTACATATACTCTCCTGTAACATCTGAGCTTTTAGATGAATCAAGAATGCTAAGAAAGTATAACATTCGATAGAGATGATGAAAGGAAAGCATATATTGCCATAGCAATGACTGCAGCATCAGCAACTCCTTGGGTTAGGAACGATTAATCAGTTCTAAGTTAGGTTTTCATGTTATTGATAATTCATCAGTTAGCTTCTACAAGAACAATATAATATGTTTCGAAGACCAATACCCAGGACAAAAAGATCTGACATGAAAGTACAATATTGTCCAGTTAGAGACCACTATATAGTAATATGGACACCACTTGCAGCCATCTTAGTTACAATATAATAAGTGCATGGAAACTCAGACAAGGCCACCAATGATATACATCAGCAAGGCAAAACGATCACTCAACTATAGTACTACCTTCCACAAAAGCTCCATCTTCAGTATGAGTTTGGTATGCATACAAATTCAATAAAACGGACCAGATAAATCAATAAGAGTGTTGCACAAGTGATTAACAACAGGATATACGATCATGCAGATTTGATGTTTATAAAAGAAGAGGTTTTAACAAAACCAAGATCTAAAACATTGAAATTAATTTGTGCTAACAAATAAAGTTTGACTTAACCTTAAATAAACTCCTACATAAATGAACCACAGTTGTGCATAGATTAGCTACATTCGACGAGTCCAAGATGTTAATAGAGATTAGGACCCGCCATGTCAATAGCTAGTCGACAAAGGGGTTTAGCCCCTCTCTCCCAAACACCCCATAAGACAACGATGGTTATGCATATACTAGTTGAAAATTTCAATTTGAGGCCTTGTTTAGATCCTCCAAAATGGCAAAAGTTTTGCCATTTTATAGCACTTTTTGCCATTTTGGATCTAAACACTAGTAGCAAAAGTTGGCAATTTGGCATTTGGCATTTGCTAGTCCATAGTAGCAAATTGTGCCAAAAAGTGCTTTGGGACCACTCCCTCTCTCTTTCTCTCTCTCACTTTAGTGCTAGAATGGCAAAACTTTAACATGCATCTAAACACCAACTAGTACTTTTGCAATGCCAAAACATTTGCCATTTGCCATTCCAAATGGATCTAAACAGGCCTTGAATTGACTTACCACCACGAAGACAATGTACGGTCTGAAGTGCAACTAGAAAAATTAAATGGAAATAAGCAAGAAAGTACTGGTACCTCTCCTTTCTCTGAAACTATCTGCAGTTCTTCCTCTGGGCCACCTTGCCCAGGTCTCTGCTCATTGACAACGAGGACCGCTTTATCAGGGTCACCATCTAGCATCACGCAATCGTCGTCGTCCCCATCATCAGCAGCAGCCACATCACGCGCAGACCTTTTGTCATCCAGCATAGATGCCACGAATTCCACCAAGGCAGCAGGATCACCTAAACCCTCCTCAACTCCGTTGCAGTCTTCAGGTAGAGGATGTGAAGACGACACGGGAGGAACGTTGGGACGCTTGGCAGCAACAGGAATCGCCTCGTCGTCCGAACTGATCTCAACAACAGCCCCGGCCGCACCCATTCACCCCTCCAAAATCGCAATCGCGCTCCAAATCGGATTATCAGTGAGACGGAGACTCAAACCGCCGCCGTGGAGCAAGAAACCAGAAGAGGGTTTCTTGAAAGCACATCACAGAAGACACCCCCCAAGACGATGAAAAACACAATCTTTCGCGCCTTTGAAAAAGGTCAGGACCTTGCAAACAGAAAACAGAAAAAAAAAACAGAGAGATGAGATTGCGGCGGCGCATGGGAGAAGAAGCAATGCCTGCGCTCATCAAGAAACCACAAGAGAGGAGGATGAGATGAAAACAGGCGCAGGTTTTAAACTATTTTCTGCAACACCGCAAGATCATCGCAAGAAAATAAGAGAAGGGACTGGAGATGAGCGGAATTCACCTCGCGTCTCCCGGTGACGGCGAGCCGGGGAGGCAACGGCGGAGGAGCGGAGTAGATGGGAAAGAAAAACAAACAAAAGAAGCAGAGAGATGGAGAAGGCGAAGCAACTGCAAAGGCCTCTGCTGCTGGAGGGGTTTACGGGTTGGGGAGGGGGGGCTTGGGGTGGAAGCCAGCGGTCGCGGTCGCGGTCGCGGTCGCGGCTCCCGCGGATGGCACGCGGACTGGCGGAGCAGCACCGGTGGGTCCCGCACGTCAGCGAGCGAGCGAGAGAGCGTGGGACCGGGACGGACGAGGATTCCTCACGCGAGAGCGAGAGAGAGAGAGAGGAGAGATTCTCTCGTCACGTCGTCGGGTCGCCTTGACCTGAGACGGAGAAGTCTCAGGGTCCCTTTTTATTAGCGCCGAGAAGATGAGGTGAGACGAGGAGATGGGAGTGCGCTAGCGCGAGACAACCCCTGCGCTCTCCCGCTCTCCGTGGATTTTATGGTCGATCCACGGTGAGTATAATAATAGTAGCCCTTCCATGTTTCCTATCTTCATGGTTAAGTTGCCACGAATTGAACCATGGTCCATGGATGATCGATGGTTTCTTTTCTTTCTTTCTTTTTCTCCTTTTTAGTCTATATAGGTGGAGATATACTCCCTCCATCTATTTTTAAAAGTCATATTTCATCTTGGCACACAGACCAAGGATAAGTAATTCTACTTATCATCTATTTAAATATGCTACTAGTTATTTCTCGTAAACAAGCGATTCATTAATATTTACATTTCTCGATACCCATGTAGCAAATCTTGTGTGGAAGAATAAAGAGTCACGCATTAAATCCGAGAAAGTCATTAAGATGATAGGTTGTTGGATTGAAATATGCCTATCAAAAATAAAATTTTCAGATTTAGAAATATAACTATCAAAAGTAGATAGAGGGAGTATTTAGGAGTGGAGAAATTGCTCAAGTGTCAACAAATACGAAGGTTTCGATTGTACCTTCTAGGTTTTCACTATTATCATAATCTTTTTTTTTGTTTAAGTTGTTGTCTACTGAGGTCGTATTAACACGGTAATTATCAGGTGTAAACATGTTCACGTCCACCAAACTTTAGAGGTTTGTGCGTTATAATATATAGTAGGCATTTAAATTACCAATTACTCTGCACAGATGGATGTAGCTATAGTAGTCATCCAGCAACGTCAACAACGATATAGCGGGACGACTGTGAGACCGACGTTGCAACTGCAAAATGCAAAAATGGCAGCGATCACACTATCCTTCCACGAAAGGCCGGTGAAACGAAGCCATGGGCACACGGTATGCCAATATACTCCATCCGATCTAAAATATAAAAGATTTTGGTTAGATATCTGGTACAGAGGAGTAGTTTCAACGACTTTTCAGCTCTGTGCAGTGCATCAAAACTGCCGATGACCTTTTGCTGAAAAAGATTACTGATTGTGTTTTTGTCGAAACAAATTTTCGGCAATATGAAAAGGAGGTAGCGTACGAGACCTAAAAGTGGATGGATGCAGAGACAGGGATTTAGACAGGTTCAGACCCTCTCAATGAGAGGTAATACCCTATTCCTGTTTGGGGAATTGAATCCACCGGGTGTTTATTATCTGACGATCAGATTGTCTCATACCCCCTAGAGGGCCTCCTGCCCACCTTATATAGGATGGGGGGCAGGATTACAAGATAGAAACCTTAACCAATATGGTATCGGTTTCCTAAATCTACTTTACAATATTATTAAACTAGGACTTTAGACCGTTCCGTAATATAAAGGAAACGTAATACCCAAGTCATGATCTGTTACATATTCCATAGATATAAGTTATCCCCTATAACTAGTCAGATAACCACGCCGTGTGGGTATGGGGTACCCATAATCTCCACAGTAGCCCCTGAGACCTTCACAGTCGAAAAGATAATCTTCTCTCGAACTAGATTACCCCAAAACCGAGTGCTTCAATCATCTTCGCCATGGTCTCCCGAGTACTTTTACCAAATATGAAGACTGTGGAGGGCTGAAAAATAAAGTCAGGTGCATCGACTAAATGCACCTAATAGGTGTAGCCCCGACTATGTGGTTAATTGAACAAACCAAGCATATAGTCAAGGAATAAATAATCCAACCAACCGAGTGGTTTTGATAATTATAGTCAAACAAGCGACTTGATATTAACATGTAGCATATGCGGTGTGAATCCCTAAATAACATGATCCGAGTGATATACCGACTGCTTTGTAAGATATGATAAGTGTAACCTAAAGTTAGCTACATCATTGAAAATTCACATAGCAAAACAGCTATAAAGAAGCTTGTATGTTGTGAATAAAGAAATTTCCAAAGTATTGGGCATACGCCATGCGCACACTGTTTTAACAGATGTGCTTAAGTCCCTAGAAGACACATGGTTCCACCACACCTAGAAATATATGGCATATGTGGTATAAAATCCGAGTAAATAAACTCATAAAGGATTTACTAACCGCCTAGAAAATGACCAAAATATATAATCAGCCTAAGCCATAATATTGGTCAATAAAAGTGCACACTTACGTGGCAAAAAGCAATGATATTGTATCCAATCAATTGCTTTATGAATCCAAACAACGCCTTGACTTATATAAAAAAATTCAGCGGGCAGCTATATAAAGCATTACTGTTTGGCACCTTTTAAAATGCATTGTACCAACTCCTAAAAAGTTGAGTAACTGTGGTATAAAAGGATTTTAAGGTATTGGGCACATAATCACGCGCACTTTTGCCTAAGCAAAAAGATGCCTAAGTCCCTAAAAGAACGTGACAGGCCACACCTGAAAATATGGGCTGCAAACATATTAGGCCTAGGCCAAAAAATATGCCTTCGACACCCTTTAAAGGATGACGCATATAACATGCTCCCGAGTAGTAAATCTTCCGGGTGATATAGACCAAGTGTAGCTCATATCAATAGCTTCTGATCTAAGTGATTATCCCTTATGGGATGCTCCAAAATAGATATAATAATTGAATCCCGACTGGCGCAAGTATTCGGTTGATAACCCTTATGGGGAATAATAAATAGTCCAGTCTTTTAGCATAGAAAATAGACTCGTGATCATAAATTCATGTTGCATGTATCCGGAATAAGTCCAAATTGAAGGTATGATACTTGTGTTTGAGTTAGTAAGCCCCTGATCATATAGCTTGTCCTTCTGTCGTAGTTACAATGGTCCATTGATAGTAGCTGACGTAGTTGGCATAGAGACAAGACGACCAATATAGAGATAATATTGTCCACCAGAAGTGGCAAAAATATTGGTGGTAGTGAAGATAGTGATACCAATCAAAAGTGATGAAGTTGCACTACCGTGAAGGCAAAGAAACCAGTCGGCAGCAGTCAGGTCAGCCAGCAATGAAGATGAAGGCGCCCAGCGATAAAGTTGTGTAGCCATGGCAGCAAAATAATCAGTCGGTGACAGACAAGGCAGCTGGTGAAGAAGATGAAGATGCCTACTAGTGGCGACATAATAAGCCATCCGTGAAGGCGAGGATACCAGTCGGTGGTGACGAAAGTAAGTCGACGGTGAAGATATAGACACGCATCAAAGGCGATGACGAAATCCACCAATCATGAAGATGAAGAAAATAGTCGGCGACGACAAATGCAACCGATGGTAATGACGATTGGCAGCAATAGAGATGATCAAATATGATAACAAAGTTGCGCATCAAACAGCAGTAGAATAGGCTATGTTGAAGAGGCTTGACAGGATGTTGATGAAGATGATGATGTCGGTGATCCAGTCAATAGCGTTGTAGCAGCCGATGATAACGATGAGATCCTCTATCGGTAGTTGCGTAGTAGGCCAACCATGAGGGCGAAATAACAAGTCGGCAATGACGGAAGCACCGGAGGAGAAGACGTAGTCATCCATTAGCAACGGCAGAGATGTCAGGGCCGATGAGGTAGAGGTGTTGGTGATGAAGTCAATGACAATAATCCATCAAACTGTTGAGAAGATATCGAAGCTCGAATAATTTTCTTGATACGAGCGTGTGCATAATGAAGACTGATGCAATGCCCCTTGATTTATGAAGATGGCTGTAGAACTTGGTGCTATAGCGGTTGCAGATGCTTGATTGATACTTGAAGTAGATTATGGCAGCATAGGGCATCCAAAATTGTCAGTGAAATAATTGAAGTTGCTGAAGTAGAACGTCTGCTCCGAAGCAAAGACGAAGATAATGACTCCTGGAGTTGACTCATTGATTGATTGATTGCTTCATCTTGACATAAAGCTTGTCGAATTTTGAGAGTCTTGTATTTGTGTAGCCCCCGATTCTTTGGTTAGTTGGGAAACAACTGAACATAGAGTCGAGAACTGTAGCTTGTCGTCGAGTAATCATTGCTTGAGTAAAGATAAATATTGAAATTTGGAACACCACTTGTTGTAATAAAATAACACGGCATCATATTTGGTGACGAATGCCGAGGTGTCGAAACTCTTGTAGTCGTCGTGGTTGGTGAAGTAGCAAAGTTTGCGAAGTAGAGGCAATAGAGTTTGCCGATGCCGAAGATAATAAAAATGAAGTTGCTCCACCATGGTGACAAAGTTGCAAAGCCGTGATGAAGTGAACACGAGTCAGTGGCAACAGAAGAAAACCGGTGGCGAAGACGTGTAGTTATGAAGATAGATACTCCAGTCGGCGGCGGCATAACCAGTCGGCGACGAAAGATGATGATGTCCATCAGTAGTGGTAGCAGTATAAACCAGACGTAGAGGCGAGGGCACTAGTCAGCAGCAGACGAGACGACCAGTGATGAAGACGATAAGGCCAATCAACACTAGCAGAATCATGCAGCCATGGAAGTGAAGAAACCAGTCGGCAGCAGACGTAGGCAGCTTGTGTTGAAGATGCTGACGCCTATTAGCGGTGACGGCGATGTAGCCAACCGTGAAGAAGATAGCATCAGTTGGCGTCAGAACAGGCCAGCCGTGCTGGCGGTGACACTAGTCGTCGGCAGACGAGGCGGCCGGTCGGTGAAGACGTAGACGCCCAACAACGGCGGCATAATAGGCCAGCCGTGCAGGCGGAGACACCAGTCGGCAGCAGACGAGGCGGCCGGTCGGTGAAGACGTAGACGCCCAACAACGGCGGCATAATAGGCCAGCCGTGCAGGCGGAGACACCAGTCGGCGGCAGACGAGGCGACCGGTCGGTGAAGACATAGACGCCCGACAACAGCGGCATAATAGGCCAGCCGTGCAGGCGGAGACACCAGTCGGCGGCGGCGAAGGCAAGCCGGTCGGTGAAGACGTAGACGCCCAACAACGGCGGCATAATAGGCCAGCCGTGTAGGCGAAGACACCAGTCGGCGGCGGCGAAGGCAAGCCGATGGTGATGTTCTGACTGATCAGTTCCTGAAGCGTAGGAGATAAACTTAAAGCCATGAATCCCTTTTATGCATATCTGTATCTGGATCCTACAGAACAAACAGATAGGATGAGTAGTATCTGATGTAAATATAATACTCGAGAAAAATTCAAGCATTTTAAAATATTTATAAATATGTATTTCTTCTCTTGTCAATTTTGATTTCCCCGAGCAGATGACTCATTACGTTTAAACACTCTGCCCGACTAGTCATAGCCACCAAGCACCGGGAGTCGGCCTAAGCACTTCCCAAACATGCATATGAGTGACATGAGTTTGTCATTAATGGAACAAAGTTTCACGGGTCGGAGTTTACTACTCGGGTACTTTTGCAATTATTAAGAGCAGAAAATAAATTATCTTATCTCTATGTTTTTGATTTATTCCGAATAATACTTAGCACCTTGCATTATTCGGTCCATCCAACAAGCCCCCGGTGCTAGGAATCGGCCCAAAGGCAACTATCCATTGGCAAACCAAACGGAAAGCATAGGAAGATGGAACTCCATAACTCGATAGGCATGTTTGTACTCAGAATAAGTCGCAAGCAATCAAGATAAATATTATGAAAATTGTTTAAAAAATATGGTATAACATCTGTAGCCCCCGACTCACTAGTCAACAGCGAACCAGTTGATGTAGTGAGGCAAAGGAAAAGGCAAAATATCGTATAAAGAATAAAATGAATGATAACTTAGCTTTGTCATATTTCCTTGGTGACAGCAGAAGTAGCCGATGTGGGAATGAAGCAGTCCATCAATGGTGACAAAAACACCAGTCGGCGCCAGTGGAACCAAGCCAGTGGTGTAGATGATGAAGCCCATTAACGGCGGCGGAGTCCGCCAACCGTATAGGCGAAAACACCAGTCAGTGGCGGCAAAGGCAGGCCGGCGGTGAAGTCGTAGACGCCCAACAGTGGCGGCATAATAGGCCAGCCGTACAGGCGGAAACACCAGTCGGCGGCGGCAAAGGCCAGCCGGTCGGTGAAGACGTGGACGCCCATGAACGGTGGTGTGACCAACCAACCGTATAGGTGAGGACACCAGTCGGCAGCGATGGAGGCAGGCCGGCGGTGAAGTCGTAGACGCCCAACAGCGACGGCATAATATTCCAGCCGTGCAGGCAGAAACACCAGTCGGCGGCGGCGAAGGCCAGCCGGTCGGTGAAGACGTGGACGCCCATGAACGGTGGTGTGACCAACCAACCATATAGGTAAGGACCAATCAACGGCAGATGAGGCGGCGTTAAGGCGAGTTGCCCATTAGTCGTGCTAGAGTCGGCCGGATCGATCTCTTGCAATGAATCCATCGCATATGCAAAAAGAAAGCAAACATATAGATCTCTGTTAGTGAGCAGGAAAATATAGATGCTTTATCATATACTAGAAAACATCTATTTAAAGTATAGCATGATAAAAAAATTTTAATCCACGCGTGTTGATTGAATCAACACATCGGGCATGCTTTCCAGGGAGCTGTAATGTCCTGGCCTGAGCTTTCCTGTGCATGGAGTAGGCATGCATGGAGAGAGCACATATATATCCATATTAAATCACATGCACGTAGCAGTTGGTCAAAGCCTGGAAGCATCAGCATGTCGCATGGTTCCCGTGAAGACGTGGCTGGCTTACGACTTGGACTCATGATGAGTAGACGGAGTGCTTTGTCTTGCACGGCAGCAGCTTGTTAGGTAGTTAGCGTCCATCAGAGCAACTCAGCCGCCAGTAGTATATGCGGACGTGCAAAAGAAGAATTAGAAAAACAATATCAATCTGTGATTAGAAACTAATCTAACAGAGATTAAATTAAAAGGATGAACCCAGATCATGCATGTCGATCGGTCGACATGTGCATGTGGATTACTCCTGGTGGCTGGCGATCTCGTGCGCGAGCCGTGAGCACTGCCGTTCCACGTTGCTCCCATGTCAGGTTACACCGCCACCGGCATCTGCACACGGGGCATGGAGGAACACGACGTATTGGGCTGACACACCGGGATGACAGCCATTGGTCTTGATCTCAGTCGGCATGCAAAAATAAGAGAAAGTAATAGGAGATTAATCTGTAGCTAGAAATCAATTTAACTAGTGAAACGATAAAATTATCTAATGAAGTTGGAGATTGAATCGATGAAATCGCTGAGATTAATCCCTTCGGCTGAATTGAATCCAAGACGAAAAAGACATGCTTCACGAATCCGGCGATGCCGAAGATTGGTTCCATCACACTCATCGACGAGGAACTCGACGCACCCCTACCTGGCGCGCCAACTGTCGAAACAAATTTTCGGCAATATGAAAAGGGGTAGCGTACGAGACCTAAAAGTGGATGGATGCAGAAACATGGATTTAGACAGGTTCAGGCCCTCTCAATGAGAGGTAATACCCTACTCCTGTTTGGGGAATTGAATCCACCGGGTGTTTATTGATCTGACGATCAGATTGTCTCATACCCCCTAGAGGGCCTCCTGCCCACCTTATATAGGATGGGGGGCAGGATTACAAGATAGAAACCTTAACCAATACGGTATCGGTTTCCTAAATCTACTTTACAATATTATCAAACTAGGACTTTAGGCTGTTCCGTAATATAAAGGAAACGTAATACCCAAGTCATGATCTGTTACATATTCCATAGATATAAGTTATCCCCTATAACTAGTCGGATAACTACGCCGTGTGGGTATGGGGTACCCATAATCTCCACAGTTTTCTTTTTCTTGAAAGGGAGATTGTCTTTATCTCTATTGGCCCTGTTTGAATCTTGCTATTTAAGAGTATTAAACATAGATTACTGACAAAACCTATTTCATAACCTCTAGGCTATTTTGCGAGACGAATCTAACGAGGTATATTAATCCATGATTTGCTACAGTGATGCTACAGTAATCAGCCGCTAATTATGGATTAATATACATCATTAGATTCGTCTCACAAAATAGCCTAGGGGTTATGGAATCGATTTTTTCGGTAATCTACGTTTAATAATCCTAAATAGTAAGATTCCGGAGGGCTATTTAATAGCCCGGAGGATTCAAACAAGGCCATTGTCATGAACATCAGTAACAATTTGACCATCTTTCGTTAAAAGAGTATTTAACGTTATCCCAATATGTGTATGCATGGTAACCTATGGTGTAGTGAGTTTATGATGTTCAGAGCTTCGTCGCAAAAAGACCATGCAATTTAATCAAGGCCTATATCAATTGCTTTATAGACTTGAGGGAACAAGGCCCAGGATAACCGGAGGTTTTTGGGCCGGTCCAAGAAGAGAAACACTAATGCGACGCTTTAACGTGAAAAGGCCAGGAAAAAAAAATCGAAAATGCCATGCCATGCCTAGCCTCGACCAGTTAATTATGCATAGCCTGCAGCCCTGTACAACACAGAATAAGTTATGGAGTAACTTATTTTGCCCTAATGGCATTCGCAGTGCGCACCGCTGGCATTCAGCTCTAGCCCTTCAACTCAAATATTTCCAGCCACGTCGGTCTCTCCCGTGCCCATGTGAGAAACATGTAGCCAAAGTTAGTCACAAATCCCTCATCAAAATGCGTCAGAGATTCGTCAGCCGACACGAGAAAGAGAGAGCGAGATGAGGGGGAGGGCCTACTAGGGAGCCAAAGCATCATCAATGTGTTGGTGGCACCCATTTGCAGCCGTCATTGGAGATCGGTTCCTGGCAAGTGAAGGCGTCGATCACTAGGGCGTGCTCCACCGTCTTCGCCGATGACGCCACCTCCTCCTTCACGACGGTCATGTCGTCCTCCCTTCCGTCTCTGGCGCGGTAGTGATGGTGATGGCGACCCCGAAGGCGCGGCGGCCAGAGGAGGAAGGGGGAGGCGCTGCGGCCGGAGGAGGGGGGAGGCGTAGCGGCCGGAGATGGAGGGGGGAGGTGCGTGACTAGTGAGGAATGAGTGGCGTTGAGAGGATAAGGGAGAAACTTACTTTTTTATTTGTGTACATTTCACTTGAGGCTACATATCACTGTAAAACTTGTGGCAAGTATTATTCTTCCCGTATCTTCATCCTATGTGGTCCTCAAACTAGCGACTAGTGAGCCGTACTGTGAATGGTCTAAGAATATCTAACTTATTTAGAATCTTAAAAATATCTAGCTTATTTAGAATCTCAAAAGAAGAGTGACAATTGGGATGGTTTATGTAATCTTTTTTTTTGTAAAAAAACGTTCTCAGTTTTGATTCTGTGTAACTATGCCTTCACGCAGCATGTAAAACCGGAACATTATCCCAAAAAAGGTCCCCGAATACAACATTTTGCTGTGAAGTTTGGGTTTTTCAATTGCTAAGGTGTGAATCAAAGAGTATATCGTGTTAACTGCACAGAACATCCAGAAACAGCAGAGATGGGAGAACTAAACAGGTTATAGTGACACGAAGCTCAGATCAGTGCTGCAGCATTCATACGTCGTAAACTTGATTCCGCTTGGTGATTTACAACAGCAGTATACACACATACTGGACCAGCCATTTAGCGCTCCAATTATTGGGAAGCTAGTACTGAAATGAACGCGAGACTACCAATACTACACCATGCTAGTTTCAGAGACAACAGGAAGGTTGTTCGTTTGTTCAGATCAGGTTGTTGCCGAAGCCAAGGACGAGTGAGCAGCAGCAGCGGCGAACCCCGCGTAGCCCAGCGCGTCGCTGCTGCTACCCTCCGGCCCGTCGCCGTCGTCCGTGTCCCACAAGAACGCGGCGTGCGCGGCGAGAACGTGGCTGCAGAGATGAACATCAACACGGGTCATCAGAAAATTCAGAACTGATTCTCGAGTTCGCGTCAAAGCAGTAGTAGATCGCGACGATGCGACCATGGATTGGTGCGTGAAAGATTGGTCGATTGCACAGCGCAGCGAACCTGTTCTGCGGGGAGGCTCTCGCTGCCCGCTCGAAGTAGCTGGAGGCGCGGTCCTCGTCGCGGTGCACGTCCCAGACCAGCTTGGCGTACTCCGACAGGAGCTCGCCGTCGTTCGGGTCGGCGAGGATGGCACGGGAGTAGTACTCCTCTGCCTTCCGGCTATCCCCTTTAATCTACCAAATCCATTGCATTTGCTCATGTGTTAGACATGAGAAGTTGAGAACGATCGCCAGATCTCCACTGAAATTTGCAGAAATGGACAGTGCTGTGGCTTACCTGATACAGGAACTGCGCGTAGTTCCTCAGGAAGAGGCCGTTGCATGGGTCCTCCTCGATCATCTTCTTGTAATGCATCTCGATGTCAGAGCGATTCCCTCCGTTGTCGGAGGTCACCAGGTAACTGCCTCCGGCGCCACCGCCGCCGCCGCCGTCGGAACCGCCGCTGCCGCCGTCGGCGCTCAGCAAGCCTGAGCCGAGGCGGTCGATCCCGAGGCCTCTGGCGAGGAACAGCGGGTGCTCGACCTGCGCGAACGTGCTGCTGCCGCTGAAGCGGAACTTCCCAAAGCTCAGCTCCTGCTCCGCGCTTTCGTGGTCGCCGTCGTCGTCGTCCTCCTCCTCCTCCTCGTCCGTGGAAGCGCCGCCGCGTTGCGTGAACGACTGGATCGTCTCGAGCGTCGTTGGCTTGGAGCGCGGCGCGCACTTGCCGGACGGCGGGAGGTGGTGGTGGTGGTCGTCGTCCCCGCTGGCGCCTAGAGCGGCGAGGTTCCCATCGGAGCAAGCGCGGCGCAGGCCACCGAGGGAGCGGTCGTGGGCGTCGGAGCCGCCTGGCGTGAGCCGGCAGGAGATGGTCGGCGGGTGGTACGAGACCGTCGGCGACGAGTCGGCGAAGAAGTGGACGGCCGGGGAGGAGACAGCCGGCGAGTGGCTCCCGGACGGGAGGAGCGCGCCGAGAACCGGCGTGGAGGCGCTCCTTACCAGCATGGCTAACTCGCTCACTCAAAAACTCAGTCTCACGCAACTACTCGCCTTGCAATTTTGCAAATCTTGCCGTGCTCTCAGTCTCGGGAGGGAGGATCCAGCTGCCGCCGCCGCTGATGCTGCTGGAGGTAGACGAAGGAAAGGAAATATGCGTTCGGGGATACTCCTTGCGCAAGTTGCAAGTAGCTACAGTGTGCATCGGGAAGGGGAGGCGTTTGGCCTGACGCGCCAGAGTCCGTGTCACGCCGCGGGAGAGCCGCCATGCTAGGGATAGTGTGGACGCGTCACGTCGCGTCGCGCGGGGGACGGACACGGGCGGGGGGTGGTGGCGCTCTGCTCCGGATTGGAGGGGCTCGACGGCCGCACGTTACGTACGGTGTGGCCGTGAGTGGCGACTCACTTTCCAGCTCTGCACGGGGGCCACCGCGACGATGGCCCGTGTTGTTTTGCGCTTTTCTGGGAAGCCGCCGCTGTAGATGGCGCCGTGCGGTGCCGATCGATCGAACGGTCGAGCGAGGCAGCGTCGCCGACTTGTTGATCTCACGTGATTTTCGCGGGAGAAAAAAAAAAAGAGTGGCGGTCCAGGCAGGGAGGACGTCATTGTTTGCGGTAAATCTAATTGAAGAGGCATCTCAAATTAGTTTTAACCAGAGACCACTCACGTGCTATTATTTTATGAGTTTTGGTTGCTATTAATTTATTGAGCAAGTAGGGGAAATATTCCTATCATTTATGTTTCAAATAAAATTTTCTCTTAAATTACTCATCCGATTTACAATCCGATTACACCGTTGTGTTCATAATAATTAAATCTTTACAACAAGATCTCACATGATTATATTTTGATGAAAAAATACAAATTACTTTTATGATATGTCTAAATTACTTTTAGATTTCACGAAGTTATTTCTTAGACATATAAAAGTAAATTCAGTAAAAACTAAAAGTAATTTACATATATATCTAAGAAGTAAATTACTTTTAGTTTTTACTGAATTTACTTTTATATAAGTAACTTAGTAAAATCTAAAAGTAATTTAGACATATCATAAAAGTAATTTGTGATTTTTTATCAAAATATAATCATGTGAGATCTTATTGTAAAGATTTAATTGTTACGAACACAACAGTGTAATCGGATTGTAGATCGGATAAGTAATTTAAGAGAAAATTATATTTAAAATATAGGTGGATGGTGCCTCTAGCTAGCTGGACCACCAGCTGTGTATTTACGTCCCATTGTTTGGTGTGTTCTGTTGTTGCGGGTGTGAGATCTAGGAGGAGCGAAATCTGCTACCGTTGGAGCCGGCATCTACGTCGGAGAGCGTGAGTTGTGGAAGCCCCTGCCGTGGACCGCGCGTGTCACGTACGTGTCCCTGGTTACTATGATTGACGTATGAGTGCAAACTGTATGTCTGTATGGTCGCTGTTATTTGGGGTCCATTTTTCAACCGGAAGTATCTAAAACATCTTTATTTTTTCGGTGTTCTATGATCACTGTTACAGCGCAGCGCAAGTGGGAGTATGTATGGAGAAAGCTTTATAATGAAAACATATCAAATATAATTATTGCATAAATTTAATGCATTGTAAGCGATACGTAATTACATCGTAATTATAAGATGTTAAAAACAAAATGATTTCTGAGGATGCTTTCGGCACTAACTTTTCTTAACTTGTGTTTTTGTGTTCATTTTATCTAAACTAGTATGGTGGCCCGCGCAGCTTGCGCGGCTGGCATCATTATATTTTCTCTCGTATAATAGCACATATATTTTCTTATTATATTATTTAAATATATTAAAATGACAACATAATTTTAAATTTTGCAATAACTTTACAAAACTACTAATGTGTAATATTCATATTGTATTTTATATACGTGTTAGTTATTAATTATTTTTAATATCAAATTTTAGTTATTTGTAAATTATATATATTCCTATATTGACTCTAGACCCGTCTTTTAATATTTCTTTTTTTAAATCCGAATTTTCTGTAAATTGTATTTCTATATAGACTCTATGCTCTTCTTCCAATATTATCTATTTTTATTTCTGAATTTTTATTATTTCTAATTGTATTTCTATGTGGACTCTAAACTCATCTTTCAATATTCTTTAATTTTTAATTTTGAATTTCAGTTACTTCTAAATTGTATTCCTATATTGACTTTAAACTCTTCTTCCTATGTTTTTCTTAATTTTGAATTTTAGTTATTTGTAAATTATATTTTTATACGGACTCTAAACTCTACTTTTAATTTTATTATGTTTATTCCAAATTTTAGTTAGTTTTAAATTCCTATATGGACTCTATACTCTACTTCTAATATTCCTTATTTTTTAATTCCGAAATTCTATTTTTTTCTTAATTATATTTCTATATGGACTCTACACTCTGCTTCTAATATTCCTTATTTTTAATTCCCAATTTCAGTTATTTCCTATTTGTATTTCTATATTAACTCTATACTCTACTTCTAATATTCCTTATTTTTAATTCCGAATTTCAGTTATTTCTATATGAACTCTAGTCACCTCTTCTAATCTTCTTTATTTTTTAATTCCGAATTTCAACTATTTCTAAATTGTATTTCTATATGGCCTCTGCTTTTTCTTTTTTCTCCGATTAATGTGAGAATTTCTAGGCCATGAGAGCGAACGTGGAGGCTCCTTTTTCTATTCTTTTAATAATATAATAGATTGTTAAACAATGTTTTCTTAAAACTTTCATAGAACATTGCTAAAAAATATACTCATTACTTAATAATATGCTGATAAAATCTTACATTTTACTGCGTGGAAGAGGTGTTCCCAACTTCTCTCACAGGCCCAAAACCGATATCTGTGGACATTCAAGTAGCTCGGCGGCTCGGCGTGATCAACCATACGAATAAGTTCATTTTAGGTCCTTTGTCGCCAAATCTTAAATTCATCACTAAACCGAAATAATAGATATAACGGGTCTCTCAATTTACAAAACCAAATCACGGTTCTAGACAATGTTATACCCGTTTTTAGCCGAATCAGCATGGGACCCACACATACCCCACATGTGTCATGTCAGAGTTGCTCCTCTGCTTCGCCAGCCGCCATCCTACGGTGGAGAAAGAAAGTGTTGGGTGTTAACATGTGGATCCTACGGGGTTCCCACCCTGACTCAACTTGCCATGTTAACTAAAATTGGACATAGTACAACCTAGGACCTTGTGATCCGGTGGGGGTCCGTGTGGGCCGGTTTTGTGAATCGAGGGATCTGTATTTCGGTTTAGGGATGAATTCATGAGGGACCAAAAATGAGCTTATTTCCAGTGAGCCCAATCACCCCAGCCCAGTACGGCCCGAGCACAAACCCGACGAAACAGATTTCTACACGACTACTACCCCTCAAGCCCAGCAGCTTTCCCCGCCTCACCACGGCGCCACTCCGAGAGCGAACTCCAAAATCTTCTCGAAACCGCCATCTCCCAATCTCCCATCCCCGTCGCCGTCGCCGAGGCAGCGGCCTCGCGGCCGGCGAGCCGGCGCCGCGGCGGCGCTCCGTCCTCATCCAGACCTACCCCGCTTTCCATGCCGCCCACAACCTCCTCCCTTCCCGCTACCCGCCACCTTCCCTTCAATCTCTCCCGCCTCCCTTGCGCCCTAACGCCGCCTCGTTCACCTCATCCCTCGCCTCGATCTCCTCGTCTTCCTCCCCCCCTCCTCAGCGGTGCCGCTCCGCGGCGTGTCCGCGTCCCTCCTCGACGACGGCTCCATCTCTTCCCTCCTCCGGTCCATGCCGTCATCCGTCGTGCCCGGCCCCATGTATGCGCCCTCTCCTCGAGCTTGCTTTATCCTCTCTGTCCCGTTCTCAGCCTCGTGCCTTATCATCCTTAACTCGTGGTTCCGATCCCGCTCTCCTGACTCCGCCCACCAGCTGTTCGACGAAATTCCTGTCGTCTGTTGGCTATTGGGACCGCGTCTGCTACTCCTCTGCCATCGTTGGCCTCACGCAAAATGGGCGATTCTAGGAATCTCTCAGTATTCGTCGACTCTCTAATGTTGTATGCGTAATCGAGTCCATTGTGGGGGCTGCAGGGCTTGCCGCACTGGAGCACGCTGTCGGATTCATGCGTGCACACATAGTCGTGGTTCGGCTTGATCTGTTGGGACTGTGCTGGTTGGTGGCTTGGTGCATATGGGAGAGCTGGAGTTGTGGATGTGTTCTAGGAGTTGGGTGGTGACCAAAACTTGATCATGTGGAATGCAGTGTTGACGACACACACACAGCCAGGAGATGTGGAAGCAGTTGCAAGGTTGTTTCATAGTATGGCAGAGTTGGAGTTGGGGTTTGAACTAATTGAACTTAATGGCCTGAAGTTTCTTGCTCTTCTCACAGCATGTAGCAATGCAGGAGCGGCTGCAGCAGGCTTGAGTTTTGGTTGGAAGAAATGCAATTCAACTGCAAGGTGAAGCCTCACCTTGAGCATTACACCGGTGTGGTGGGTGCGATGGCGTGAGTGGGACGTCTGGAGGATGTGGAGAACACTGCATGCACAACACCATGTAAGTCAGATGCAGCAGTGTGGATTTACTCGTCTGGCAGGCTGTGTGGTTCATCACATTTTCTTTAGGGAACATGCAAAAACGAAAAACCTTGCACGTCATTCCATGAAGAAAGCAAGTTTACAGCCTAAAGATCACCCAGGATCAGAGACTGGCTTGCCGGCCACAACAGAAAGGCTAAAGGACTCATGGGGCAACTGGTTCATCACATGTTTGACATGGCAGGAATCAAGGGACAACGGCTGTTAGAGATTGTCCCCAATGATGATTCTGTGTATCTCATGCTTTACAATGTCTACTCTGTAGTTAGAAATCGAGGAGTCGGGAAGAAGGTTGTCAAAGTTGGATTGAGGCTGGATTGAGGCAAGACGTGAGAGGACAGGTACATGTGTTTGTTGCGAATGAGAGGAGGCATCATTTATGAAAAAATGAATAATTTGATTAAAAAGGTAGAGAAGTTAGGGTATAAGGAGGCAGACAAGGGGCTCCACCGCTCCTGCATCATAGTGAAAAGTTGGCTATTGCGTATGGGTTGATCAGTGGGGCTGTACCATCCGGGAAGATGTTGAGGATAGTGAGGAACTGGAGGATTTGTGTTCATTGTCATCAATTCTTTAAGTATGCCAGCATGGTGATACAGGTAATTGTAGTATGGCATTTTACATAACACACAGTAAAGCAAGGTGCTTGCAGTTGCAGCCTTGCAGTGACTACAGGTGAAATCCTTAAGAGGCAACTTGGTGTTAAAATTATTTGGTGAA